GTACAATTCATAATTACTACACATAATTATTCGCTTTTCGAATATTCGAATTATTCGAGTTTGATTCCGAGCCCTAATACAAACAAACTTTGCGAAAAAATACAGAAATGGTGGACTTATTGCACACGACTGGTGTTTGGCCGATAAATTCAGCAAATAAATAGCGTTTTGCAAAGCCTATCTACTAAATAATCGCTTCATCATGCGCGCCAAATCAACAACTCAGAGGAAACGAGCGACTCCACAAGGGGAAATCAGTCTTGCCAGATGAAAAAACTGCGCTAATCAATTCCCTAAACCTACGCTAGATCTACAACAGTCAAATTAAACAAGGGGTAACAACATTTATAACAATTACATCTCGTTAACACTGATTTTACATTATTATGATTTACTTAACTAATGTGTTTGATATTAGTATACTCTAGAAGGGTTTTGATTTTGATTTCAACGTTTCTGAATCAGAATGGTGACGATTTTTCACTCGCTAAACGCTCTTTGGATCAGTTTCTGGTCAGAATCCGTATGGGTTTGGGAAGCACTCGATTACAGGGGAATAAATTAGCGTTCCGATAGATATTGCAAAGCGGTCTGCACTAGAATTTTGCCAATTTCTTCCGCTATAAGCCTATGAAGAAAACATATTTTCCCTAAAAAAATACTTTTGCAATAGGTATTTCCCGAACCCCTAGGGAGATAGCGCCCTTAAACAAACATCCGCTAAGTTTCCCAATAGCACACCACTCTAATCAATGGGAATATAGATATTTGCTCTCTTAAGGCCACGACAGACTTCGGGCTTTTTACACAGTTTCAGGCAAATCGATCAGAAAAAAGTGCAAAGGTCGCCAGGTTTATGGGCAAAACTCGATACTCTGCTTAGTTTGCATGGAGTTTCCCCTACAAAATCCAACAAACCGACGCTTTTCTTCCTCATCCCGAGCCGAAGAACTGCACACAGACACCGAACTTTTACCTGTTGGCCCAAAACCGAAGTCTGTGGGGCCCGTCTTTACCCGAGACTGAACTGCGACGCACTTAAAGGTCTCGATCCGAGAGAGACTCGTGGAGGTGGATACCCGTAGGAGAGTGAAAAACGGAACACTTTAGCCATTTGGTCCGTTTTGCGCCAGCAATCGAAACAAGAAACTCTCGAGCCCCACCTGCGGCTAAATTCTCACCGCCTTCCCATTGGAGCCCTGGGAACAGTCAACAGAAGCTGCACTTGGACGTTTGCTCCAGATGGATGGCGCACATGCCAGTCAGTTCATTGCACACGTTGTTCAACTGGACAACAGTCGCCGATTTTCTGCGCGCATCGTTTTTGTTTCGATTGATATCCTCAACGCCTAAGCTGTTGCGAAAAACGCTCACCGCCCTCTCTCTGCATCTGCAAGAGGGCCGGTTAACGGTTAGAGCTTCGCTCCGATCTGGGACGTTACCTGAGAGGCGGCTCTGCCTTGGTGATTTTGTCCCGGACGAGCGAGCCGCAGGACTGCGCCTTGTAGAGTCGCGTGTTCTTGTTGAAAATCACCGGAAACGGAATGCACAGCTTCTTGTGCACTTGGAAGTACTTGCCCAAAATGCGTAGCTTCTTCTTATCGGGGGGCGCGATTTTCGCCTCCGGACTGTCCTGGCTCGGTTTCAGCGTGTCTTTGCGCGATATGTGATGGCTGCAGCTCTTCGGGCTGTCGCTCTTCTCCTCCGGAGGCAGTTTCCTCGCCGATAGCGACAGTCCTTGCAGAATTCGAGCCCCAATTCCCTTCACCTTGGGCGTTAATGGGCCGTGAGTGCCGACCACTGTTGTCGATATTACTATGGCATGAGTGTTGTCCTCCTGCACCTCAGTTATCCTGCAAAACACACCAAAGTGAGTTCAAGATCCACGTTAAACTACAAGTTCGATTAATTTGCCATGAGTGGAAACAGTCCTCGTAAGAGCTCAGTGAACTTGCAAAGGGCTAGCAAGGAACCCTTGCAAAGGGCCAGCAAAACATAAATTTCGCAAGTATATTTGAGACACTCGTGCGCCGATACCCGAAAAGTCTCACTTAAGTCTGAAATCATGTTGAGGATTTTTTTAAATTAAATTTTAAAAAATTCATCTGGTCTAAATTCGCTTTTGCACATTAGTTTACTAAAAAAATCGTAGCTTCTTAACCAGAAAGGATCGAACGGCGCAAATTCGGAAATACATTTGAGAGACCCGTGGGTCGATACCTAAAAAAATTCCTTTAATTAGTAACACGTTGAGGAATGAGAAATTTTCGAAAATTCATCATGGCCAAATACGACTATGCGCTTTTGTACATCAGCTTCCTAAAAAAGTTGTAGCTTCTAAACCAGAACAAATTGAGCGGCGCAAATGCGGAAATATATTTGAGACACTCGTGAGTCGATACCTTAAAAATTTCACTTAGTTCTGAAAATGTGTTAAAGAATAATAAATTTTCAAAAATTGATAGTCTATTTTACAAAACTCCTCAAACTTGGGGCGTTTCTCTGAAAAGCCAATAAAGGCAATTTCACACTCTGTCCTAAACATTCGTGTTCGAATAAAAATTAAGTTCCTGCAAACTATACTGAAAGTTTCGAATTTTGAACATTATCAGAGTATTTTACAGAAAGTCTCAAACTTAGGCGCGTTTTCTGTGAAGAGCCAATAAAGACAATTTTGCACGCTTGCCTAAAAATCGTAATTTCTTCGGCTAGGGACAAGCTGGAACAGCTCCAATTGTAGGATTTTACAGCGAAAAGTTCATGCAAACTATGCTAAAAGTTTCGAATTTTGGACATTATCAGAGTATTTTACAGAAAGTCTCAAACTGAGGCGCGTTTTTTGTAAAGAGCCAATAAAGGCAATTTCGCACTCTTGCCTAAAAATCGTAATTTCTTCGTCTTGAGACAAGCTGGATAAGCGCCGATTGTTGGATTTTACAGCGAAAAGTTCATGCAAACTATGCTGAAAGTTTCCAATTTTGAACATTATCAGAAAGTCTCAAACTTAGGCGCGTTTTCTGTGAAAAGCCAATAAAGGCAATTTCGCACTCTCGCCTAAAAATCGTAATTTCTTCGTCTTGAGACAAGCTGGATAAGCGTCGATTGTTGGATTTTACAGCGAAAAGTTCATGCAAACTATGCTGAAAGTTTCCAATTTTGAACATTATCAGATTATTTTACAGAAAGTCTCAAACTTAGGCGCGTTTTCTGTTAAAAGCCAATAAAGGCAATTTCGCACTCTCGCCTAAAAATCGTAATTTCTTTGGCTAGGGACAAGCTGGAAAAGCGCCAATTGTAGGATGTTACAGCGAAAAGTTCATGCAAACTATGCTGAAAGTTTCGAATTTTGAACATTATCAGAGTATTTTACAGAAAGTCTCAAACTTAGGCGCGTTTCCTGTGAAGAGCCAACAAAGGCAATGTCGCACTCTCGAAGAAAAATCGTAATTTCTTCGTTTGGGGACAAGCTAGAAAAGCGCCGATTGTTGGATTTTACAGCGAAAAGTTCACGCAAACTATGCTGAAAGTTTCGAATTTTGAACATGTTTAGAGTATTTTAAAGAAAGTCTCAAACTTAGGCGTGTTTTTTGTGAAGAGCCAACCAAGGCAATTTCGCACTCTTGCCTAAAAATCGTAATTTTTTCGTCTTGGGACAAGCTAGAAAAGCGCCGTTTGTTGGATTTTACGGCGAAAAGTTCATGCAAACTATGCTGAATGATTCGAATTTTGAACATTATCAGAGTATTTTACAGAAAGTCTCAAACTTAGGCGCGTTTTTTGTGAAGAGCCAATAAAGGCAATTTCGCACTCTTGCCTAAAAATCATAATTTCTTCGTCTTGGGACAAGCTAGAAAAGCGCCGATTGTTGGATTTTACAGCGAAAAGTGCATGCTAACTATGCTGAAAGTTTCGAATTTTGAACATTATCAGAGTATTTTAAAGAAAGTCTCAAACTTAGGCGCCTTTTCTGTGAAAAGCCAATAAAGGCAATTTCGCACTCTCGCCTAAAAATCGTAATTTCTTCGTCTGGGGACAAGTTGGAAAAGCGCCGATTGTCAGATGTTACAGCGAAAATTCCATGCAAATGACATTGAAAGTGTCGAATTTATATATTTTACAAAAAGCCTTAAACTTGCCTGTTCAGAGACTGGCTTTCCCTCAGCCGAGTTTCGCCGCTGCGCCTCCTGCTGGCTTTATGCCGCCTGCCCAACATCACGCCAGAATTCGCGGTGTTTTTGCGCCCCCCTTCAGTGTTGGTGCCGCCGCCCTTGTCGCTCTGCCCCCCACTGCTGGTTTCCCTGCCCCTAGATTCACTGGAAATGGTGGTGGCGGCGCCCCCCAAGGCCTGCCCCGTCCCCGCTCCTGTTCCCGGCTCCTGCAAGCAATTCCACCATTAGCCCCCCCTTCCTGCACAGCCCGACAGGAAAAAATCACCTGAGAATCGCTGCTGTCATCGTAGCTATCCCGGCGCCCCTGGATCGGCTTTGTCGGCGTCGGGTTCAGTTTATGGGCGCGTTTTTTGCGCTTTTCGCTGTCGTCGTCGCTGGCGTCCGATGAGCTGCACGACGCCGTTCTCGACTTGTGGAATTTGCTGCGGCGCTGCTCGTACGGCGTCCGTTTCACGAATCGGGCGCCCGATTGGGGCCGCGCAGCCTCCGGCGTCTCCACGCCCTCCTCGTAGATCTCATTCAGCTGCAGAGGGTTGGAATCTGCAAAACAGCAATCAAACCACTTGGACTCAACTGGCGGCTTGCCGACTACTTACGGTGCACCGAAGGACGTGGGGCTACAAATAAAACCAGCCATGCTGTTAAAATAAGTCATTTATTACGCTAGAGGAATAGAACTACCCGGCACTAACTACTCTGACTACGACTAGCTAACAAATAGAAGAGCTTAGAGGAACAAGTCAGTCTTATTGAGCAGGAAGAGTCCCCGGAGGGGACTTTGGGATTGGGCGCTAGAGTTTGCATGCAACTGCAACACAAAAGTGTCTTTTCTACTACTTAATTCCCAAAAACCCACATGTGTGTCAGTCCATATTAGTAAAAGAGCCGAAAAGTATCTACTTATACCGGGTGAGTCCGTGCTTCCATGCATAGCGAAAGCCTGTGGACTCACCGTATACAAACAAAGTACAAGCGACAGAAAGGGAAGGTGCAGCTGAACTGGCAAAGAACCCCATCCTCAATCCCCACATGCGAATTGCCAGATTTACATTTTATTCAGGTGCAAAATGGAGAATAGCAAGACAGTGTACAAGACCATCTTCAGCCTGCGGTTCAGCTTACCCATGTTGCTCCGGGTGGGCGAGGGCATTGTTTTATACTTGGGCATCCCTGTAAAGTCCACTGGCGTGCTGGTGGTGATAATTGGGATGCTGATAGTGGAGGAGTCCGTGATAATCGTGGTGGGAATCACCTCCGGTTCACTCACAGCGTCGCAAACGCTGGAACTCTTCGTAGCTTGCCACTCTTTGCGCTGCGCTGCCGACTTGGGCTTTTCCAGTATCTGAAACCGACCAGGTCAGTCGCAAATCGAGACCCGGAGTTCCCCATCAAACCTTTTCTGCCGGCTTGCGCCGCTCGTTTTCAGCCAGCCTTTCCTGCAAGGCCAAGTTCAAACGGCCTTCCGATCGCGAGCCTCTGCGGTTTAGGGGCGGCCCCAGTTCCTCCCTGCCGGAGCACGAAGAAATGTCTTCCTCCTCCTCATCTTCCTGGACAATGCTGCATTTGCGCGATCTCTGCAACAACACCAATCAGCAACTTTTCACAAAATTTCCATCTTGAACGGTTTATTCGGACTTCCATGGTCTTGCGAAGGTGCTTTATCTGATGACAACGTTTCCGTCGGTTGTAAAACGGCCGCTACACGATGCGTCGAACATTCGTTCCAACGTTGGGCCGAACATTTGAGTCAAAAAGTGCTACACGGTGTGTCGAATTAATTAAATAAGCAAAATTCCTTTTGAATTGTGGTTCAAACGTTTGTCTACATTCGTCAATATGCAGGATACTGCTGACGCTGCAGTTATCGCTGCAGCGGTGCGAGTTTTTAGTTGTGTGAATGGTTTACTCAACGTCATTTTCAAACTTATTTTTTAACACTTTGTATTAATAGGTATCAAAATTTTGACGAAATTCCATTAAAGTAATTTTCAACAAGAACTCACGCAATTCTGATTTATTTTCCTGACTGCGTGTACTTATTAGGATATTCTTATCTTTCCTGGGTCTCAAAGTGTGAAGTAAAAATTTTGAAAATCGTTATTTCATTACGTTTCGGCGAGACAACAGCGCCATCATCAGATTTAAAATTTACATATAGGTCTTCCTTCACATCTGTGTAAAACGAACTGAACGTGTAAACGCCAGATTTTCGTTCAGTTCATCTGCACAGATCAGGCTTGCGCAAGCCAGATTGTTCAGATGGCTTGAACGTGTAAACGGGCTTTAACGTTTGCGTTGGGGCATGTTCCGGTCAGGAAAATAAATCAGAATTGCGTGCGTCCTTATTTTGATAACTATTAATACAAAGTGTTAAAAAATAAGTTTGAAAATGACGTTGAGTAAACCATTCACAGCGTCAGAAGTATCCTGCATATTGACGAATGTAGACAAACGTTTGAACCACAATCCAAAAGGAATTTTGCTTCAAGCATTCGACACACCGTGTAGCACTTTTAGACTCAAATGTTCGACGCATCGTGTAGCGCCGGCATAAGACTTGGGCATAACTGCTCATGAGCCACAGTGAGGAAGGACTTCTTGTGAGACAATGGGAGCACGAATAAACCTTTTTTTTTATTGGGGGCGTACCTGAGGCAAATCCCCAGGGGTTCGGGGCACGTTCAGTAAAATGGGAACCGGAGCGCCAGTGCCGCTATCGCGCTTCGGCGGGCCCAAAGTCTTTGACACCGCCAGATTCTCTGGGCGTTTGCTTTTCGCCGCCACATCCACACGCTTTGATCGCAGCTTCCGCTCAGCCAGCAGGTAGTAGGTGGCGGTTATGTGGTTGTACTCATTGCGGTCCAAGCATCTGCAAGCACACCCAAAAAAATTATACAAGATTCGAGCAGCAGACAGACGAAAGTCGCTTACTCTTGGACTTCTTCCTTGGTGGCGATGTTGCCGTTGACGATCTTCTGGATGATGAAGTTGTGGTCCTCTTCAGAGAGATGTTCCTTGGATACGAGCGGCAGCGCCAAGAGATCAGTGCTGGCGCTCTCTTCTACCCCGTCAGTCAGCCACGGGTGGCTGGAGATTTCCGCCAGAGTTGCACGCTTTTCTGGATTGCGCACCAACATCTTGGAGATTAAACTACAAGAAGATTCGACTGGCTTTTACTAACCGGAACACACTGGAAAATTCTGGCTATTTTGTCCGATTTTTAACACACGATTAAGACCGTTTTGGCTCTTAACATTCCAATAGAGCTATCGAGGTTCTATCTAGGAGGAAATTTGAGAAATTAGTAGCGGTTTTGCCCAAATTTTTATCAACGTTTAAGACAAGTTTTCGTATTTTGCGGGAAAACCGCTTTCGAAAAAGAGATTCATAAAATGACGTTTCATATGAAAATATGCATATTTTAATGCTCCATCTCGCAATGAAAACCAGAGCTTTGCAGCTCAACGCGTTTTCAAAATATGAATCAAAATCTAAGAGCGATTCTCAAAATCCGCATTAATCCGGGCGGAAAAACCAGAAATATTTCATAAATGATGTTTTATATGAAAATCT